TGGCCAGCGAAGCCGTCAAAATATTTTTCTTCCAAAGTGATCCTCCCAAAGACTGTTCTCAACAAAAAAACTAAAAAACACCATATAGTTTCATACTCTTAACGAATTAAAGTCCCAAGCTATCACCTCCATAATATAACAGTTTTCAGTATCACATTTAATTCAATTCAATTCAATTTTATTTGTATACGCCAATTCATAACAGAAGTTGTCTCAGGACACTTTTAGGCCCGGCCCAAAGCAATCGGCGCGCGGAAACTCAACAACAACAACAATAACGCCTGGCATGAGTGTCACAATACTTTAATTGTGGCTCATGATACTATACCATCCAAATTATAGCAATAGCACTGATGTTGACTAGATGTTGTGTTAAGAGCATAGTATTCTAGTTTAACTTGAATACTCACATAGAAATGAAGGTCTCGTCACACTGCAGTCCCTCTGGCTGAACCAATACAAAACAGGTATCTGAAACACACAACACATAGTACTGTATGAGTTATGATAAATCACAATGTAAAGAGGCTGTAAATATACAGTTTAACTTGAATACTCATAGAAATGGAGGTTGAATACTCACCTAAAAAAAGAAACCAGCAATGGCATTTTACTTAATGTTGGGGGATAAGGAGTTTCTTCAACAGGTCGCTTTTTTCTGCAACTCTGTCTATGACCAAGTCATTGTCAAGGGACATGAGTGATGACATGTCTTTCTCTGTGGTCATAAGCATGAATGCTTCCAGGTGTTCTTGTGACTGTGCTTCTTATTCAACTTTTGACAGAGTAAGGAGGAACCTGTATCCCCAGCCAAGGATATGATAGGCATCTGTGAAGAGGTTGTAGCGTTTCAGAATTTGATAGCAACAGACTGGGCATTCCTTACAAGATTTGCACTGTTTGTTTAGTACATCTGTGTCTTCTTCGTCATCATCACAGCCACCCCCTACCATCCTGACTTTGTACTCTTCAAGTGCAGACATTTTAAGCCGTGGCCACTGAGCTGCCAGACACTTTAACTCAGACTGCAAATTGACAGCTGTCGCTCTGCTGTCAAACCTGAGCAAACATTTGCTAAGTTCTTGAAATGCAGAATCAGGCAGAGAATCTGATGACACTTCAGCAAAGTTTCTCGGATCAAGAAGGGCCAAGTCGGCATAGAGTGTAGCATGGGTCAGAAAACGCCTGTGGATGCTCTCTGTGATTGTATCCATAATCTGGTTATGGACCTCAACTTCATAGGCTCTGTTTGCATCTGTGAGAGTCTCGTCACTTGTTCATTTCACCAGCCATCATCTTCCTTTTCCTCTTCCTTTTCTGTGGAAGTTCTGCCTCCAACTCAAGCTCACAGTCCTCTTCCACCATGAGTTGTGCATTTGCCCACTGGACGAGGGTATCAGCAGCTTGCTTAACTGACTTAAAATCTCTTGCCATGTTCTTCATGGCATCTTGAGTTGCCATTACCATCCTGTGTGCAGTTAAGATATGTAGTCCACTTGACTGTAGGTATTTTGACAGCGGTGTTGTGACCTCAAAAATCCACAGGAAAAGCTGAGCAGTTAAAATACCTCATCAGCGCCTCTAAGAATCCTCTAGCTTTG